CTTTTGCTCATTGGCACGTGTCGGTCATCCATCTCTCCTTGCAGAAGCAGCGTGGGACTGCAGGTGGGTGGAGCGCCTCACCGACCTTCTCGTCCATTTTCCACAGTCCCCCACTGCTCCCAGAGGGACAACTGAGGCAGAAGCGTCAATTCCCCTAGTTTTGAAACGTTGTCAAGCCCTGTTCTGCAGCATGACAGAGGTGCTGGTTTTGCTCTGTGCCCATGGTCATGGGTGTGTGAGGCGTTTAACAAACACCATTTCTCTCAGTTAACAAGATGCTTTCATACGTTTGATCCTTTAAAAAAGGATCCTTTATTCCTCGGGAATGGTGTGTGTGTGTGTACACCTAGATAACAGAAGGAGAAAATAAATGAAAGGTCAAGAAAAGTAGCTTAAAAAATAAGTGACCAAATTTTTTTGCTCAGGAAAAGAAAAAAAAAAAAAAAAAGAAAGCAAACCCACAACTAACTTAAAAAAAAAGACTAGAAAAGTGGGGCAGCTGCCGAAGCAAGAGTCGTGGGAACGTGGTTATACCTTCTTCCCGTACGACCTTGACCGGAGTGTGTTTAGGTTGGCGCAGTTCTCCTTGAGTTTAATAGTGAAAATAAGCAACCTGATACACAGTACCGTCCTCCTGGGCGGAGGTTGATGTGTATCAATTAGTTAACATCGTGTGGACAGTTTATTTCCTGCACATCTTGCTACTTAGCAAAGCCATGGTCCTAGCAGGAAATGAGATGTAGAAAGTCTGGCTGCACAGCTGGACGTGAGCTTTTCTGTGTGGGAGGGAGGCATCTCGGCTCAGTGTGGTGATTGCAAAACCCAAGGAGGGAAACCCACAGTGGGATCCACAGCTGGCGCCCTTGGGTGGGGCTCACAGCAGAAGGGTGAAGGGTGTGGCTTTGTGGTTCAGACCTTGCTTCTCCTCTTCAGGAGCTTGGTGCTTTGGGGCAAGTCTTTTACACTTGTAAAACTTCAGTTTTCTTTTTTTTTTAATTTACTTTTATTTAATTTTCCAGTACTGGGGATAGAACTCAGCCTGATGCTTGCTAGGCAGTTGCTCTGCCACTTGAACCAAGCCCCCACTCCTTTTGCTTTTAGTTTGATTTTCAGGTAGGGTCTTGCATATTTATGCCCAGTCTGGCCTTGGAATGTGAGTCTCCTACCTCACCTCCCAAGTAGCTGGGATTACAGGTGTGCTCCACTATGTTCAACAAGAAATGTATTTTCATTATAATAAATGAGGAAATGAGGGGGACTGGAGGTGTGGCTCTAGTGGTAGAGCTGGCCCTGAGTTTGAAATCCCACTACCACCAAAAAAACCCAAAAAAAGAGTGAGTTAACTTACCTGTAGTTATTTAAGTGGTGCTGGAGGTAGGGGAGGGGACATAGCAAGTGTTCAACGTTGTGTAATAACTTACACTTACACAACCCCTCTGGGGCCGGGTTCCTTCCCAAGCCTTTGGTAGATGTCACTCGTAGGACACGAACTACGAGTTCTTGGTGTAGTAATTTTATTGTCATCACTTTACAGATGGAGCCGAGCAGGGAGTTGTCCAAGGTCACAGTGACTTTAAGTCAGGGCTGGTACTCCAAGCCAGAGTCTGGGGTCACAATCATGATACTGTATGACATCTAGAGTAAAAATGGTGCAGCTGTCACCTAAAGCATGACAGGAATGAGCGCTGACGATGGCACAGTGAGGGACAGTGTTGAGGGTGTCATATCCCAATGTCAGTTGGAGGATCTGCAATAATTTTATGCAAAGAGAGGTTTCTGCAGAGACCCTCGCTGCCACCAACACTAAATCAGCTCTCCCAGGTGAGACCTCCTGCCGTCTAGTTGGGCGGGAGGGAGAAGAAGCCCACTCGCCAATGGAGGCGTCTTGGCCATTGGGTTCTGCACCATGGGACGTGCAGGATCTCACAGCAGCCGAGACTTGCTAGACAGTGTCACCTGCAGACTGTGGGAGCTCTGAGGTGCCCAGCAGCCTTGCCGAAGCTCGGGCAGAGGCGCTCCGCCATCTCACCTGCTCCTGCCTCACCTTCCTGGTCCTCACCCGCCCCTCCCTCACCTGCCCCAGGTCCTCACCTGTCCTTCCCTCAACATGATCTCAGCTCTGGACTCTGTGTATTAGGAAGAGGCCATTTGTCTTCGAGTTAGAAGTGGCTCATTCTGACAGGCAGGATGAAGACTCTGATAGTGACAGGATTTATACCAGAGCCATTAGCATTTTAGGCAAAAAACCAAAGATGAATAATTTATGCTCATTCATGATTTAAAAATAGCCTCAAGATGTGTGAACCCAGTGCCATTATGTCTGCCTGTCTCTCTGTCTCTCCATCCCATCTATTTATCTAGCTCTGTCTGTCCATCCATCCATCCATCCATCTTATAATAACCTTAGTGCTAAAGGCACTGCCAGCCTGTGGTGCTATAGGATGTGCGGTGTCCTTAGGAGGTGAGGCTGGTGGGAGGACATACGGTCCCTGATGCCCTTGAAGGAGACCTTGGAGTCCTGGGCCCTTCCTCTTGCTCTCTCTGCTCCCCGACCAAATGGGGGGAGCAGTTTTCTCCACCTTGCCCCCCCCCATGTTCTGCCTCGCCACAGGTCCACATCAACGAGGATGAGTGGCCCTGGACTGAGGCTGTGAGTTTAAATAAATCTTTGCCCCTTGTAAGTTGATTTTGGCAGGTGTTTTCCCACAGCGACATGAAGCTGGTTGACACACTTAGGTCTGAGTATGCCTAGCAAGACCAAGGCTCTAAGTTCAAACCTCAGCATCACCTAAAAACCAAAACCCAAACCTGTATAGATTAATCTGATGATGTTAATTAACCCTTCACAGGGTCCTCTCATAGGACACCCCAGTTCCAACCTTGCTGGGACCCCACAGTGCACGTTTCTCTCCAAGGTGATGTAGTGGTCGACTGGGGACCCAGTGACCTCTACCTAAGACAATGCTTCCCAAGTTTGAGTGATTTTGGCTAAAATGACATGGCAGGCTTTTGTTGCAAAGCTCAACTGGAGCGGGTGATGTCAGCGAAGTGATGGTTGGGATGGGTGCACACAGAGACACACACAACACACGCAAACACACAAAGACACGACATACACACAGAAACACATGCAAGCACACAGAGACACACATGACACATGCAAACATACAAAGACAGACACAGAGATATACACACAGAGACTATATACAAACACACATGCAAGCACACAGAGACACACAGAAACACACATGACACATGCAAACACAAAAATACAGAGACACAGAGACATACATACAGACACATGCAAACACACAGACACACATGCAAACACACAGAGACACAGAGATACACACAGACACACACAGAGGCACACAGACACACAGAGACACAGAGACATACACACAGACACACATGCAAACACACACAGACACACATGGAAACACACAGAGGCACACAGACACATGCAAACACACAGAAACACACACAGAGACACACAGGCACACATACACACACACACACACACACACACACACACAAATAAATGAGGTCTCAGGAACTTTTTGCCTGCCTGGCCTCAATCCATGATCCTCCCGATCACGACCTCCTGAGGAGCTGGAACATCATGTCCGACTGGACGTTGTTATCGGACCTCCCTTCAGAGTTCCTCTGTCTGTATCAACAGCTCCCCGTCAGTGGGCCAGCTTCGAGTCGTCACTTTCATCAGTCACACGATCTTCCCGAGTGAGGATGCGCCACACCTGTGTGCGTCACCTTTCTCACATTGAGGGACATTTGCGCGGAGGTCATTGGTTCCTCGTGCATGCATCCACATTAAAAACGAATGAAAGTCTGGAGGAGACACTCATCGAATTGCAAGAAGTGACTCTTTCTGGACAGTGGGATTAGAAACAGTTTGTCTTTGTTGAGCTGCGTTATCTAATTTTCAATATAAAACAGGTTTGGGGGCAGTCCTGGGGATCGAACTCACGGCCTTGTGATTGCCAGGCAGGAACCCTACCATAAACAGGTATTTTTAATAAAGACTTACAAACCAATCAGTAAATATCTTGACACCCTTCCTTCCACCAATTTCACCCTGGAGAGGCCATCCAAAAAAACAAAACAAAACAAAAAAAACCTCCTCTTATAAGTTAAACAAAACTAACATCTGCTTGAAGTAGTCCGTGACACTGATAAGATTTCATCCATGACCTTGGATGAGCTTTAGGCATACAGATCAAGATATCAGGATTTGTAACCACCCAGAAGGACCAGGATTCCCGGTAGTAATTATCTAGGCTGGAGACCACTGAGCTGCTCTGTGAAGGTCAGGTGACAAATGCCCTGGGCTCTGCAGCCATGCCGTCTGTGTGACTGTCAGCTCTGTCTGTACCCAAAGCCAGCTGGAAGTGAGTTGATCTGGCCAGGTTTCCATGGAGGACCGAGCTGAAGACCCTCATCAGAGCACAGGGATGACAGCAGTTGAAGTGTCACCAGTGCATTTAAACTGCTCTTTAAAAATGTTTGTAAGTAGCCAGGTGCTGGTGGCTCACTCCTGTAATCCTAGCTCCCTAGAGAGCCAGGCTCTGCAGGATCTCAGTTTAAGGCCAGCCCAGGCGAAATGATATCAAGATCCCATCTTAAAAGAAAACACCTGGGCATGGTGGTGCACCTGTTTTCCCAACAGCAGAAAGCTTAAGATAGCAGGATGGCAGTCCAGGCCAGCCTGGAGACCCTGTCTCCAAAATAACCAGAGCAAGGAGCTCTGGAGGCATGGCTCAAGCAGTAGAGGGCCTACCTTGTAAGCATGAAGTCCTGAGTTCAAACCCCAGTAATGCCAAAATATCTGCAAAATTATGTGAGCAGTGTCAGTCTACCTCACACATAGTTGGCGCTGGAAATGGGATCCAGTAAGGGCACTGCGGAGCCCGGGGACTGGCTCATTTTGTAGGTGTCCACCGCAAGAGTCTTCACTGCTTTGGTCTTCCGTTCTCTCCTAGGAGAAGAAAATCTGATCGCTGTTCCCCTGGGAAGTCGCAGTGTGAGAATCACCGTGAAAGGACCTGCCCACCTCTGTAAGCAGAATTTAATCTTGACATCGTTTGTTTCCTGAAAGTCTGTTTAGCAACAAACACACACAAAGAACATAGTTTTCTGTGCTCATGGTAGGTAGACTAACACTTTTGTTTGGGGATTTTTCCCCATTATTCTGAAATTGTCTGCGTCACCATGGGAGTTTGTACACCCGGAGAGTTTCTGTTTCCCTGATCTACTGGAAATGATCCCAGTGCAGCCTCTCTTTCCCCCTGGGGTGGGAATCCAGCTCCATGTGAAATAAGCTTTTTTCACATGAGGAGCAAATAAGGGCTCAAGAGCCTTCTGGAGGTGGCCGAAGTTTGGGACAAAAAGCAAAATGAAGCTTAAGGTACAGGACCTGTTTAATAATGTGATGTGGCAGATTCATTGTGAGGTCTAGGGTTTGCACCCCAGGTTCCAACTCCTGGGATCCCACATGCCAGGTCTGGCCACCCGCCCCTAAACGCCAAGTAAAGAGGCCTGGCGAAGGCAGAGAAAGGAGGTTTATTACACGGCTTAGGACACGCCGTGGGAAGAGGCAGAGGAAGCCCTCAGCCCATCCTCAGCCGTCTTCAGGGTTCAGACACGAGCCATAGAAACCGTGCTGGGAGTTGAAGTCAGGACCTTGCCCTGGCTAGGCAGACCCTCTTCCACTTGAGCCGTGCCCCCAGCCCTTTTCGTGTTGGTTATTTTTGAGATAGGGTCTTGGTTTAGGCCTGGGCTGGTCTGGACCACTGTCCTCCTATTTGTGCTTCCCCAAGTAGCTGGGATGGCAGGTGTACGGCACCACTCACAGCCATTGCTGGAGATGGGGTCTCATGAACTTTTTGTCTAGCTGGGCCCAAACCATGACCCTTCTGATCTCTACCTCCTGAGTAGCAGGGATTACAGTCTTGAGCCTCAGCACCCGTCCAGTAAAACTGGCTTAAAACCCACCACTCTTGATAGGAGTGACTCTTGTAAATACAAACTTGACTTTTGGAAAGTTTTGGCCTTTTGGAATGTTTTGAAAAAAAAATTCAGATCCAAGTTTTGTGAGTCATTTGAGTGATAATATCATGAAATATTTGGATTTAAAAAAAACACACAAAGCACTGAGTATTTACAGCACATTATTCACACCGTCAAGTGGAAACAAACCAAATGGCCGTCAGCTGCTGAATCGATAAATAAAACGTGGTGTGTGGAGTATTACTTGGCTATAAAGAGGGGTGAGATTCCAACCTGTGTTCCTTGAAAACCTTATGCTTCTGGGAAAGAAGCCAGTCGCAAAAGGCCACACGTCATAGCATTCCTTCAAATGAAAAGCCCAGGTGGGAAGTGGGTTGGGAGATCACCTGACTAAGATGGGGTTTCATTTGGAGGAGCAAAAATGTTCCTCGTTTAGCCTGGGTTGACAGCCTCCCTCTGTGAGCACGCCTCCTGTAGATGTAATTAATCCACACGTTCTGACTGGGTGGATTTGGGGTTAGGGGTTTAGTTCAGTGGCAGAATGCTTGCCTGGAGTGTGCAGGTCCTGCCAAAAAAAAAACCAAAAACAAAACACTGAAGGAGGCAGTGATTCAATCCAGCATTTTCAGGATAATAAAGGCAGCTCCCCAAAATTCAGCTTCAAAAATTATTTTTAATTTGTAAAAACGGAGTACGCGAGCACTAACCAGGGCAAGTGCAGGTGAGTATTTCGAGGCCCAAACTCACTGGCAGAGGTGTGTAGCCGGGCACGTGAGCTCGGCTTGTACTTGAGAGCAGTTGTCTTCAAGGGCAGAGCTCAGAAATGGTCCCCTTCTCCAAATGGGCCCGGTCTGTTGCTTGGGACAGTTCCCCTTCCAAACAATGTCACCATGGCCCAGAAAATGTTTCTGGAAGTCACCTTGTCCCCTGAAGAAGAGAACTGGCTTTGCTGACAAAGGACTCAGTTGAGATTTCTGGATATCTGAATACAGGAGGGGCTTCAGTTTCTTGACTTGTACAACCATTTTCACATTCTTTAAAAAGTAAGGTCCATTTCTGAACTCAAGTTTATTTTGCAGCATCAGTCATTCTGTTGAGATCTATATTAACTACAGTCTTCCAAAGGCTACATTATTCAGAAGTGAAAGGTGAATTTCAAGTGCCATTGTGGAACGGAGTTGATTACAGAGTGTCTGACTAACAGATGGACTAACAGTGTCCAGGGCTGGAACTTCTGGTCCCGTGCTAAGCTGGACCACATGTCATAGGAGGCACCTGCCCGCACATTTCAGCAATGCATCTCTTCACAGTGGAAGCAATGAGAGGACCTCTGCACGAGAAATTTTACTGTAACCAAAGTTGTGTGATCGACTAACAGTAAACCTGGAAGCCAAGATGCTGAGCACTGATGTCTGCTATCACCTGGAGGAATATTTTTCCCTCTAAGTCCTGTCTGGTGACCATAAATCGGGAAGTTACTGAACTACAGCCATGGACACCATACACAGCGAGCAAGGACAGTGATGCCAAATGAAACGACCACGTACCACAAAAGCCCAGCTCCGCCGGGGACACGAGCTGCACGCGTCGCGACCCCATCAGCTGTCCTAAGCCCTGGATGCGTTTGCCTGACAGCGCTTTTGCGGCCGTTGGAGTTTGAACAGTCCTCTTGGTGGTGGTTGTGTGACCGCCTCTTTTGAAAGAAACCTAGACTGATGCGTCTCAATGCCAGCCCTTCAGTATCGGAAGTGTTCGTTACCTTGTTAGCCATCGTTTCTTTTAAAAATCACAAGTTTGAATTAAAATATTTAAAGGTTTGGTTGCAGGCTTGAGTTGCGAAGATTGCGGGAGGGAGAGAAGAAGGCCCTGGGTTCTGATTCTGTTTTACCTTTGTGGATACCCATCCTTCCCTGTTCAACACGTCCCCCGCCACCCCCACCAAGCATCAGGAAAGAAAGACTGTTCCTAAACCATGGCGAGGGTGACAAAGGCTTCCTGGGGTCTCCCAGGTCCTCACCAACTTGCTGAGGAAGGCACAGAGTGTCCTGAGCAAGCTTTGAGAACTGGAGAGCTTGCAGTGGCCACTGTCACACATTGTCCCAACACGGGGCTGTGGTCGATACGTGAAAACGATAGACGGGAGCGAACGCTTAAAAAGGTTTCCGCAAGCGAACGCGCCAGTTGAATCGGTGATTGAAGCCCTCAAAACCCCTTTCTGACATTCAGTCAGAGGCGCACGCTCTAAGGAGAGGCGAATCTGTCACAATAAGAAAGACACTTTTAAGAGCCATGTGGGCCTCTGCCTCCCGGTGGACTTGCTAATACAAATGGTGAGAACGGTTTGCGTGGATCAACTCCACCTTCGTTAAGTCACTCAGTCTTCTTCACCCCTGTTTGTCAGCTACCCCTCGCACAGTTGGGGTGGAAGCACCTGCTTTCTGCCTCCTGGATGTGCAGCTGGTGTTTGCCCCCCAGGGATGTGGCAGACTGTTGAAGTAATCCAGCTAAAGGTCTTGTACGCTGGCATCCATTTCAGTTGAGAAGGTGGCCGGAGTCACCTACACAGACGTGAAAATTGGTGTTTCTACAGCCTTGTCACTGAAAATTATTGAAATAATGGAATAGACCCCACATTTAAAACAAGACACCCAAACCACACTAATGGGAGCCTGGCCTCTAGTTTAGGGGCTGGATGTCATATTAACTGGTGTTCCCTTCCTCCCAGATCACCTTCCCAGAGTCTGTCGCCCTTCTCCAGGGCCGCACCCAGTGAAACGTGGAAAGCCAGGCCGCACAAAGTTACCACAGTGGTAAAAGTGATTACATCCTACACAGCCACGGACCATGGCACACTACCTGAAATGAACCAGGCCTTCAGTCCAGGAACTCAGTGTCCTACATGGGCGCGATGAGGGCTCACCCTCAAGTCACTGGTTTCATTTTGCGTTTTGATGTTGACCTGGTGTTTTCTCTTCTTTAGAGAGACCTGATTCATCCAGGGTCAGGCTGGCTCGCTTCTCCAGCACTTCATCTCACTCTTACTGACAACTCACTCTATCACTCAGCTTCACATCTTCACTGGACCTAGGAAATGAATTTAATCTTACACCTTCCAAAAACCCACCGCAGTCATGGGGACCAGGGCCAGCGTGGTTGGGGTTTTGGTGTCTGAGTCGCCTGCATTTTTCTAATGACTCTTGCAGCTGAGAGCTCACGTCTAGCCTTTGAATTTTCCCAGAAAAGTTCCCTGCCTGCCTGCCAGGGACAATCAGGGATGTCTCCAATGCCTGGAGTCCTGCAGCTGGTCTTTGGCAGAGAGAAAACAGGTCAAATAAAGACAGCTGAAGCAGGTAGCATGGGATCGGAACACCCTGATCCCAAACCAGCTCGGGGTGTGTTGACAACTTTCCATTTTTAAGTTTGGAGCAGAGCAGTTTTGACTGTGTTGGGCCCTTTGTTCAAGGTGGCTAACGACTGCGACAATACCACAGAATCCAGCGTAGGTTTCAGAGTAGAGCTGGATGTGGTCATCGTCCATGCTGATGCCTCATTAAAAGAGGGCAGTGAGTTAGAGAAAGAGCTGGGCAGAAACTCAGCTGTCAGGGGTCTGGCTGCACATTTCTTTATTGTCTGTCTCAACCACAGACCAGTTCTACTAAGTCTGGTGACACTTCATAAAATAAAAGAAAGAAAAGGGAGAAAGACAGAAATTATTAAATAAAATAGAAATAGTATATTCAAACTGTGGGCAAGCTTGTTCTGTAGGCGTAAACAGCACTTCTCGTACAAAATCAGCATATGTCAGGGAGATCTTTGTGACCATAGAGTGGCTTATATTTTGATTGTGGTGCCCTGTGGTAAAATGGCAGCAAACTCATTCACTCATTTTACTGTCAGCATCCCGGTTTGCTCTACAGCATTGTGACTTGTAACCATTGAGCAAGACAAACTGTGGATACATAAGACCTCCCTGCACAAGTTTTTCAATTTCCCATGAATCTATAATTACTTCCAAGTAAGAAGACTTGGAAAACAAAAAAGGCAAATTTGAGGTTCACCTGTGGTTTGTTTTATTTTATTCATTTATTTTTTGTGGTGCTGGGAATCACATCCGAGGCCTTATGCAGAATTGCACTCTTCTTTTGTCTCCATAAAAGACCAGGATTAAGAGCTTCTGGGTAAGTGAAAAGTGAACGAGCCTGGCTTTGCTCACTGTGTGATTTTAGCTACCTCAGGAGAAAGTATAAACAGAGAAATGTTTTCGTTTTCTCTTTCCCTTTATGGTAGAAACGACTCTAAAGAACTGAGTCAACCCATTTGGGCCTGTCACCCTGGTTAGCATCTTATTAGGACAAGTGAGAAATCCAACACATCTGTCCCACTCATGTGACCCAGGGTTTGTAAACTGAGTACACAGTTTGCGACTGCATTGGTATTGTAGGCTCATTTGCATTTAGTAAAATGTCATTTGAAGTAAAATGACATTGTTTAATTTTCTGTATCGATTCTAGTTATTGAATCAAAAACACTTCAAGGAAGCAAAGGAGAGCACAGCTTTAACAGCCCTGGAGTCTTCGTTGTAGAAAACACGACGGTTGAATTTCAGAAAGGCTCAGAGAGGCAAACCTTTAAGATTCCAGGACCTCTGACTGCTGATTTCATCTTCAAGGTAGGAGCATCGTCTTCATAAAACACACGTACATGAGGCCCAGACCTCTTGACTTTTAAAAACAGTAGGTTTGTTCGGCCAGAGGTCACCAGTGACTTTCTATATGGAGCATATATCAACATTTCCATCTTGAGACCTTATCCCTAAAAATCGCTCATCTCTCTCAGGCAGAGCGACCCCGAGAGTTGAGAACTAACCTTCCCAGAATTGATTCCATGTTTATAACATCCGGTTGCTCTGCTCAGTTTTAAGTCTCTGGGTGGAGTTTGGTGAAAGTGGGCAATGGTTCAACTTACCGTCTCTGCACAGAAGTGCAGAGGGCAGAGGACAGAGGGCAGAGGCTCCTTCCTCGTGCTCCCTTACCAGGCTACTCCACCCTCAGCGCACAGAACATAGCCTTACATAGCTGGTTCAAGGTCAGGGATTCTCCCTGGGTTGTGTTTTATGATGAGTGTGTCATAAGATATGCTTCTTACCTACTGTCATGAGTCTGTGTCCCTCTCTAGGTAAACCTGGGTCATCTTCCTTCACTCAGAGGATATGAAGTCTTGTGGTCAATCTTTTTACAGGTGACTAAATGTCAAACTCTTCCCATAAATTTGCAAATGCCCAAGAAATGAAAGTGATAGTTTAGTGAGTGGTTTTACCCTCTTTTCAAAAACTCATTCCAAAGTGTAGGAGAAGAGAGAAAGTGCCTAGCTGCTAGAGATCTGTTTATGTATATAAAATAGCCCCAACCCTTCAAAACCTGCCTGTGTTCCACATATCAATTGTCAAAGAATGCTTCATTCGGACATGGGTTCTGTCAGCAGACTGATGCATGTGGAGGAAGAGGAAGCTGTGATCCAAATTCCTTAGATCCAGACTCAGCCTGCAGGCGACCACCCAAGTGTTGGCCTGCTGTTTTGGTTTGGAAATTCTGGGTTTTAAATGATCAACACTGAAGAATGAAGAAGTTTTTCTTTTCTTAAGTAAAAATATCAGGTTTTTTTCCTGCTTCTCTTTACAATGGGGAAGATCTGACAATGACTTTGCACTTCGCCATCACGTCAGCTGCACACTGCCCTCTGCTCAGGGCTCACTCGCCCTAGTTTGCCATGGTCCACACCACTCTCTGTGGCACTCTAGAGTTAAATGTCAAGGTGTTGGCTGCTGTTCATCCTGCTCACATGCTTATAATTATCTGTCTGGCTCCCATAGATATTTAAGTTTGTGACTTCTGTGTTGATCTTTGAAGTATTGATCCAGTATTCTTCTCTGACAGTCACAGGTGGGAGATTTGGGGGAGGAGGGCAGCCATGGTTATCATCATTCTTCTTCACTCTCGGGCCCATTGTTATGACACAGATTCCATCTTGTCACAGTCTTCTTCTGGGTTTCCCATCTGGTTCTCAAGTAGTGGACACACACACACAATCTTTTCCCCCATTTTGTTACTACTCAGAGAACTTGTATTCTCTCTAAGTCAATTAGAGGTCTGCAGTTGAGTGGGAGACATTATTTTGGTCATGTGATTGAGAAAGACCCAGAGAGATTAGTGTTTCAAGATATTGGTTACAGTACCACATGAATAGACTGTGAAGACGTGTTGTTTATGGTACCCTTCTGGAACCACAAAGATGTGTAAGCTGTATATTTCTATGAGTGTGTGTACACACTCCACACACACACACACACACACACACTTAATATTTGAAAGGATACTTTCCAAGATGAAAATGACAATGGATATTTCAGAAGTTATCAATGCTTTGGGGGATGGTTTTAGATTCACTTATTTTATTCTTAAAATGATTTTTATAAAGAATGCTTTCATGTATCATTTGCATAATTAAATACCCCATTACACCTTCTTACCCAAAATATGGATTCACCTCTTAGCAGAGTGCATTTTAACGGTGTGCAGCCCCCTGTCTGAATCAATGCTCAGTCCTCTATTTTCCTGTCTCTGCATTCTGGTTTTCTCAAACTGAATAAACAGATCTGGACTTCAACTTCTGGAAAGTTCAAACCCCCTCCCCCAAATGGAAAAGATGTTTAACAAGAATATTTATCAAAGAGGGCATTGCACAGAAATGACTTGGGTAGAAATCTTCCCACCAGTAGCCACCATCTTCCATTGGTGTGGTAAGCATGGTGCAGAGAATTTGGTGAGATGACGGACGCTTTATGATGCAGTAAGAACAACTCTGATACTGTTTTTCCCTGACTTGAGAACTGATCCAAATACTGTGGGTTTCCCAGAAATATCCCATTCTAGCGGATATTCTGGGGGATTCAGAACATGGTAACACATGATAAGAAGCTCTGCTTTGGTTCCTCTCCCCCTGGCCCTTGACACAGTCAGTCATGGTGGTTCTTTGAATGGGAGGGAAAAGTGCATCATGGGGGTCTCTGAAGACAGTCTGCCCTGTGTTTGTCTGTACCTGTTTCCCTCCCAGTCAACCTGAGGGAAAATGATTTCAACTGAGAGGCCAAAGCAATCAAGACCACTCTGCCTGCTCTTTTATGGGTGTCCTGAGCGAGGCTGAAACCCACTCCTTCATGTACTATGCACAATGCCTTTTTCATGTTTTCATGAACAGACTATTGAAGATGGCTATCTGCTTACACAGGAAGGATGCAGACATCAATGGTGTTCTAGATTGTTGCTGAAATTCAGAAACTCAGCAACTCACTGCAACAATGAGAAAAAATGTCTTTTTCTCTTAAGAAGCTGTATTTTCAGGATCGGAATGTTTTTGAAAACTGTACCTTTTCTTCTTCCCAGTGGATTTCTCACTGTATAATCCTGTTTTCCTGCTCGAAGCTTTCTCCTTGGTTCTGGTCACAGTGTGGTTGTGCCAGGGCTATTTCACACCAAAGCCAAGGAGGTCTTGTTTTGCTCCTGCAATATGTACTTGCTGCCACCAGAAGGCAGTAGGGAGCACTGGCTAAGTTGACGTCATGTGTGTGGTTGGCTGGGTGATGGCACAGGTGCTACTCCTGCCACTGGCACCTGGGAGCAGGCACTTGTGAGATTATGCATGTCCCTAGACTTTCCAGTAAAATGAAATGGTTTTGCTGCAAACATAGCTTTCTGCAGTGAATCTTTAACTGCTGTCAGTAGCTTTCTCCCTTCTAAAAACACGTCCAGCTTCAGGCAGGGGAAAGCAGTGTGTCTTCTTTGTGGCCTGAAATCTTCCTTTTTCTGCCAGCTGTCTTTTTAGGGAGTCTTTTCCTCCATTCAGATATTTTGCATTTCTGTAGGAAAATGTTTTCTGATTGCTTTTCCACTCGTGCTCAGCCATGCAGGCTCTGTCTCCAGTTTCCTCCGACCTCAGCTCGGATGTCTGTCATGCTGTCTACCAGGGTCTTGCTTTTCTGGGGAGTTCTGCTAGCACATCTCATTGTCTAAGGACAAGAGGACTTTAAGCTCCCTGTTTTCCTTTCTCCCAGAAAACATACCATGAAGTGCAGATTGTGGCTGAATTTCTACATTCCCAGCAGACCGTTTCAGAGTCAGTGCCTGCATTTCTTTCCTGGGGCTGCCACTACAGAATACCACAAAGTGAACTTCCTAGACAACACAACTGATTGTCTCACTGTTCTGAAGGCTGAATGTCCGAAATCAAGGTGCTGGGGGATTGGTTCCTTCTGAGGGCAGTGAGGGAGAGTCTGTTCCATACCCTTCCGCTCAATTCCTACAGCTCAGCCACTCGCCCTCTGCTGCCTGTCATCTTCCCCCTGTGCACAGAGTGCTACTCCTGCCACTGGCACCTGGACAGGCACTTGTGAATTATGCATGTCCCTAGACTTTCCAGTAAAATGAAATGGTTTGCTGCAAACATAGCTTTCTGCAGTGAATCTTTAACTCTGTCAGTAGCTTTCTCCCTTCTAAAAACACGTCCAGCTTCAGCAGGGAAAGCAGTGTGTCTTCTGTGGCCTAAATCTTCCTTTTTCTGCCAGCTGTCTTTTAGGGAGCTTTTCTCCATTCAATATTTTGCATTTCTTAGAAATGTTTCTGATTGCTTTTCCACTCGTGCTCACCATGCAGGCTCGTCTCCAGTTTCCGACCTCAGCTCGAGTCTCATGCTGTCTACCAGGGTCTTGCTTTTCTGGGGAGTTCTGCTAGCACATCTCATTGTCTAAGGACAAAGGACTTTAAGCTCCCTGTTTCCTTTCTCCCAAAAACATACCATGAGTCAGATTGTGCTGAATTTCTACATTCCCAGCAGACCGTTCAGAGTAGTGCCTGCATTTCTTTCCTGGCTGCCACTACAGAATACCACAAAGTGAACTTCCTAGACAACACAACTGATTGTCTCACTGTTCTGAAGCTGAAGTCCGAAATCAGGTGCTGGGGGATTGGTTCCTTCTGAGGCAGTGAGGGAGAGTCTGTTCCATACCCTTCCGCTCAATTCCTACAGCTCAGCCACTCGCCCTCTGCTGCCTGTCATCTTCCCCCTGTGCACAGATTTCCTTCTCATAAGGACCCAGTCAGACTGGCTAGAGCCCACCGTGGTGACCTCATTCTTATTACATCTGCAAAATGGCATTTCCAAGTCACTCATATGCTGAGGCACTGTAGGCTGGGACTTCAGCTCCCTTTAGAGCGGACACAGTTCAAGCCATAACACTGCCAGTAGAACTGGAAACCTACCTAACTTCTTCCCTCCTTCCTAGCTGGACTCCATCCCACCCTGTGTTTGCCATGAATCACAAAGGTAGAAACCTCTGAGACATTTCATGTGGTCTGTTGGAGGGAAATCTCTTGGTTAAAGCAGTTTAAATACTGCTCTGATGTCACCAGAATTCACAGCTAAGTCTCACACACACACACACACACACGTGTTTTATATGTTAAGAAATTCTACTTTTATAGTCCATAAATTTGGGGAGTTTGTTGAAGTGGCCAAGTCAGGTAGTTGAGTGTGAATTCATTTTCTTCCTCATTAACAGGAGCTACACTTTTGTAAATGTTTGTGCGTGTTTTGCTTTTGCTATTCTGTGTGCACTTG